GGTTAGGCCAGTGGTGGTGAACCTATGGCACGTGTGCCACAGCGGGCATGCAGAGCCCTCTGTCGGCATGCAAACCAAGTCTCTAAAAGGATCACCATCACTTGCATATACATTACCACAAGAAGCAGCAACAGCTACCCACATACATTGCTTTAAAAGGAGGTATCCATTTTATCTTGGAGATACCAGCAATCTACCACCAATCAGTCCAGTTACAGTCCCACTGTAACATCTACCAAATGTGGAAGATTGGGAAAAACATTCCACCAACACTCACCCAGTAGAAATATTCAGAAATACAGTAGAAAAGCCTGCCATATTGTCACTATGAACTAGTTTGTGTATGTTGGTAGATACAGAAATCCATGAATTATTCAAATTATAAAACAAGAATGAAGAGTACAGTATATTTGTGAACAGAGAAAGAATCCCATTAAAAGACTAGTTCCATAGAGCAGCTGGTAAATTATTTTACACTATTAGAAACCATTTTAAGTATACTAGCATTAGGCTGTTCTAAAGAGTAGAATAGCACTCAATCTGTGAAAAGTATTTAAACATTTAAATAGTAATTCTGTGAGGAGGTTGTTGTTTTTTGGTGCTACTGTGTTGTAGAAAATTAGTTACACTTTAAGTGAACACATAAAGAAGTAAGATTGGTATGTGTGACTGCTTTCTTTGGGTTGCTTCTTTCCAGTGGCACCTAGGCAGATAAATGGGCAACTTGCTATCCTCTGGACTGCTCAGTGAGGATCAGATGCAGCTAGAGAGAACAAAACAGACAGCGGCTAGCAAGGTAGAGGGCAGTATCTGAAGTTGCCCATCCATGACTAAGGCATGCTTCCGTTGCACAAGCAGCACCCACTACTTGTGCAACAGTGATTTAGCCCTTCTGGGAGCAATCTCCAAAACAAGTGGAAAAGCTTACTTTTCAACAGGGCAGGACGGTGGAGCTCCTTATGAAGGTTCCACCAACCTGCCTTGTTCCAGAAACTACAATTTTCTCTCATTTTGCATTGCCCTCAGAAGTGCTAAATATCCATTGCACAAGGGCTTGGATTGGGTACTGCTGGCTACCTGAAGGCAAGCATCATTGGGTACTGCCCATAGACACTAGCACTACTTGATTTGTGGTACATCATGGGCAACAGAAGTGACTTTCCCCTTGCAGATAACACAATGCCATGCATTAGACGAACAGATTATGCAAAGGACGTTCTGGCATTTTCTGCCAGTTTTAGCTGTTAAGGAAGGTAGTGCCTGCTTTGAATTACTACAGCCAGAGAGGCCGCAGTAGAGCAACCATGTAGTAAATCTGTATATGTCAGCGGGATGGTTTTACAGCAAGGGTGTGGAACTTTTTTCAGTCAAGTGTTACATTCTGTTGGAGGTAATTTGTTGGGATGATTGCTGTAGGCACTGCTTGATGGTGCTAGAAAAAATTGGGCAGCGCTAGCCTCTCCAGATTCACTTGCACACCATCCCATTCTCTTTCTCTCCCCCCCCCCACCCTCAATATTTCTCTCTTTTTCTTCCTTTCCATCCATTAGAATCTTTTTCAGGAGACTGCTCCTGTCAGAAGTCTGAACTGATTGTTTACAGAAGGCTTTTAATAGGAGGCTGGGACAACGTGCAGCCCAAGGGCCAAAAGTTGCTTGCCCCATCTTTAGCGTATGTGATTTCAGGATTGGTGTTTACGCTTTGGTGCTCAATCTCTGACATCATATTCTCTTAGGAAAGTCTGCCAGAATGATTCCAAGATGGATGTGACTGACAGATCAGCAGCTGCAAAGCTGGCCCTACTTGTCCAGGGTTTTTTGCTCACCGAGCACAGTGTGGCTCTACCGTAACAGAGCCGCCACCCCCAGCACTGCTTCTCTTGGAAGAAGCACCAAGGTGCCATCCTAATTTCCTCCAGCTTTCAGTGTCAGGAGGTGGGGCTCTAACTCTTGAGCTTTAAATTACTTCATAATGTTTCTCATTGAAATCCAGTTTGGTAAATGATCAGTGTATTGTGCATCCTTGACAAGCTAACCATCTTCTCGTTTGCTGCATAATACTGGAAACTGAAATAAGTTAGTTTTATCTTCTAGAGAAGATTGTAATAAAAGTATATCCCTTGGTGCTAGTTTCCCTTTTAGATAAGCATAACTGCCTTTCTAAAATATGACATGTTAGATGATCCTCACTGTAAAGAAAAGTGCATTTACAGCTTCTTGATGTGACCGCTTCTATGCAGAATCATTCTTTGTATGAGCATTTTGGGTCAGGCTGTGAATTTTTTCCCCCTCTTTCCCTTCCCACTAAAATCATTGAAATATATTCTGTTGGTCTTTCACATCAGAGGTGTAAATGGATTTCTTGAAAGTTTTTCTTCAGAATGGTAAAAGGCAATCACTTTACAACTTTGACTCCATTACTCGCTGCATCACAAAGCTTAATATACCACCCAAACTCCGAAAATGCGCTGCTGCTCAGTGACCTTGCCTCCACAAGGACAGAGGCTTTGTTTGTGCAAAGAAGCATTGTCTGCAGTCTCTGCATCTGGATACGCTGCATGATTTGACTGCACTTGCACAAAAAGCACAATAGGGAGAAGAACAGTGTAATCTGCATTTTTGGAACAGATTTATTTTACTAATGGCATTTGCATGCCCTGTGCTTCTCCCTTTAACTTTTCTTGTGTTTTAATGGCACCAGTACTGTAAGGTTAAACTTCACATACCATACAGATATCTATATTTGCTCTGCAATTGAAGCATTTCATACTGAAACAAAAGAACTAAAGAACAAGTGGACAAGTTTTTAATGACTTTGTTTTCACACTGGTATTCTCTGACTCAACAAAATATGCAAACCAATGAAACCTCTTAAGTTTTAAGGTATAGCCTTCAAATGGATAAGATTAAGCAATAATGTTGGGTTCAAAAGAACAGAGTAAAAATGTAGTCTTTACTTAAACTGCACAACCCCTACCATGCATTTACTGTATATTTCTAACCAAAAGATAATCCCATGTCCCATTCACACTTTCACAGTATTTATGCAATAGGCAAATGCCTGCATAGCTACATTGTCTTTTCCATATCTCCACAAATAGAGTTTAGATGTCAGGGAAAGGGGATGGCTTAGGGCCCTATAGGCCATCAAATCACATGAATATAGCTTGAAATCTAAATAAATATGTGCTCTAAATTAAATTAAAAACATCTGTGTAAGGAAATTTCTTTCTTTCTTTCTTTCTTTTATGGATTTATGACATGATTTCTTTATGTTTTGCTCTGTCCCAAAGGCCTATAGTGACTAACAGCATGTGTATTTTATGTGTAGTCCTTTGTCATTCCACCCTACCTGTGACTGAAGGTTATGGATATTCTTTCTTTACAAGTGTAGAACTTAAACAAAATTGTGTGTCGAGGTAACCCAAGGAAACTATGTCTGGGTGGGGATTTAAATGGAGATCAAAAACTGGAGCAGTTTGGTTTTCTTTAGAATAATTATTTTAATTTCATTTTCTGTTATTTTGTTGAGAGAGAGCAGATTGACTGTCCTCTAATCTTTAAAAAGTCTACTACATATTTTGGAAAAAGTAATCTTAGCTTTGAGTGGAGGGGCTATGTAGGGTTTATGAATTAATATGCATTGAGTAGCAGTGTGATTTTTATTAATTTATTATTAAATACTGAAGTATGAAGGAACGGGTAACGTGAGAATTGCCGTTTGCTGTTGTGGAGATGATGCTTCTGATGTTATCTCCCAATCCTAAAACCTCATCTTAAGCTTTGTCTTCATGAGACTTAAAATCTTGTCTTATGCCCAATGATCAGCCTTAAACCTCTTTGCTGTCACCGAAGAAAACAAATCTTTTGCCTTCCTTTGCCTGAGGGATGTGAAGAGCTGAAGTGGTCCTGTGTGACTAAATTAGATGAAAGACTTGCCTTCCCACTACGGAGACATGGAGTCTAATCAAGTGAAATGAGTTCTGAGATCTCAACTCACTTCCTAGGGGATATCAGTTTACATTACAAAATCACACGACACCTAATTCATCACGGTTGATGCAGACTTTACTCAGGAGAGGCCACAGCTCAGACAATACAATAGTAAGCCACCTGTCCCCTCTATGGAAGAAGCTGTTTATTAAGACAGTAGAAGGCATTGGTTGGAAGGGTCTACAAGGCATTGACCTGCATATTTATAGGGTATATGTAACAGGAGAGGGATGTCAAATTCCAAAATGGGAAGCAGAATCTGGAAGAGATCATTTATATTCTTAATCATTATTAATATAGATAATTCACCACTCTTTAAACTAGATAAAAGGCGGAACCTACCTTGTTTACAAAGTTTAAACATTAAAGCATAAAACATGATGTATATCCAGATTGTAAAACCTGCTACTTCAGTGCATGTGATTGAAAAGGGGACATAACAACACAGCATCACAAATCACTGCAGAAGTGACATTACATTGATTTTGTAAGTGGACGCACACATCAACCTGCCAGTATACAAGGATCATTAGATGAAGACTTTCTCTGTAGTCTTTCCATTAAAAAATGTATTTAACAAGAGAGCCTTCTTTGTGATGATACCCTGACTCTGGAATGCTCTCCCATGGGAAATACGCCTAGTACCAACATTGTACTCTTTCTGGCACTATGTGAAAATGCCTCTTAATTTGCACAGATCTCTTTTAAACTTGCAAATTTGTACATTTTTAGATTCAAGAGTGCACAATTTTGGCTGGAGAAATACTTTTAAACGATTTGAAATTAGGTATAAAATATTTATATCCATTTAAATTTTAGGTTGTTTTTATTGCAGTGTGTTGTGTCATTTTTATATAATTTATTGATACATTTACCTGATGTCTTCTTTTTATATATAGCTAAAACATCAGCAGAATGACTGATGTCAGTATCTTCATGCACTGAAATTTGGTGTGACAAAGAAAAAGTTCTGTTTACCAAACTAATCAACTTCTTAATTTCTTCTAGGGCATCGTTATTACACCCTTGCTTCTCCTACTTTTTGTGAGTATCACAATATTTATTACTGTTGATACTATGTAACATACTGCCTAATATCATGTTATCCGTGGGAAAGGGGGTGTTTTTAATGTTTCAGGTTGCTTTCATTGACTCAAGAATATAATGTGGTTTTTTAATAGTTTTGAAACTGTGGAAATGAAAATGTTTTAAAGAAATACAGTATTCAGAGCCTACCTGCTTTTCTAGGCAAATATTAACTCTGAGCTTCTCTACATTGAGTTTTAACCCATTTTAAACAGCCACTTCTGAAGCTTCTGCTTCTGGATTCTTTGCAAGATTAAGTTAATTTCTTTTATCAAGGTTATAGGGCTTTTCTTTGTATTATGCAGCAATTCTTTGTCCTTAACAGATTTTCTGCTTTAAGAAAAGAGATGGAAGAAACTGTGGGAAACACCCAGTTTACCCATAACGATGGCAAATGGGTTATTGGAGTCATGCAGAAGTGAGCTACTTGCGCTTTACATGAGGTTTAGCAAACAACCCAGGAATCCTCTATTTGTTTGTCACTTCTGTTAATCATTAGGTTTGCTTGGTCAAGAACCCCTATGACAAAGGACGTCTAGATTCCCCTTGATCTCCCCCTTCTGCCAACCAAGTCTAACTGCTAAGGGAACCTTTCAGAGCTCCTTTGGCAAAAAAAAACTTCAAATGGGGATCTAGAATCCTGTCCTGAAAGATCATTTTAGATACTTTCCCCAGCTAGGCCCCAGCTCCAGCCTTATAGAGGGCAAGCATGGAAGGGTTAGTTGGTTGGAATGGTCATGAATCTTTCCTGCCCCTGGCAGTTCTGCTCAAATCGCTCCACCCTGACTTTGGAAGCTGTGTTTCCCTACTTTAAAGATCCAAGCCAGGGTGAGGGGGAAAATGTTTTGAAACATGAAACATAATTTCATGTGAAATATGAAAACATAATTTTCACAGAATAGGTGAAGGGGTAAGCACTGTCTTCCAAGCATTTATCTGCTGTGCATGCCTCCTTTCCTTTGCACTGTGAGAGGAAACAGAAGGTTTCGTGCTTCTGTCTCAGGTTAAAGACCTGTTTGTATGTACTGGTGAGTATGTGGCTTACAGTGTAGAAGGCTGAATGGATACAGAGGTGCTCTGTTTGTGTGCTTGTATTTTTCTAATGCCCCTGAATTTTCATTTATTTAAACAATGAAAGCAATTATTATTTGTTACTTACATTTATACCTTACTTTTTGGCCTGAAAAGTTCCCAGAAGCAGTGCCTTTTACATCACTGCTGCTCTCTCAGAACCTCCAAACAAGGAACAATAATGAGTATATTAATCTGTATGTATAATTAAATAAGAAAAGAATTTCCCCCTCAAGATAGCTTTACTTATTGATCATAGTTTGCATTTTGCCCCATTTCCACAAAATTAATTCCTGACAGCGCTCAATAGTGTGAACTTATTTATTTTCACAAACTTGATAATGTAAAATAAGTAATATTAACTAAGTTGTTTAAGATAGGTTGACATGCACAAAGGAAAGAGTGAATACTTAAAATAAATTACACATTTTGCATAAATATTATATTATCTTAAATAAGTGGTATTAAATGTACAGCAGTTTTATTTTTGACTTTACTATAACCGAGCTTAATATTGGATTAATTCCTCTTTAGAAAAATATGATTTACCATAATGATAGAACTGCTGGGACATCAGATCATTATTACCTTATTTAACAGTTTCTTCCAACTTGCTCAGTTTTAAAAACCATTTGTTAGAGACTTTCATTGAGCTTCCTCTTATAAAGTGTTACTGAACCTTCTTTCCAACAACATTCAACCCCAACCATATTTCTTTCAAGTATATAATAATGAACATGCTGAAGACCCAAGCAAGATGTTATAATTTATAAATTTGGTAAAAACAGAACATCTCTGCTTCAAAACGCTACATGGGTAGGATTAACCTTGTCCCAAGTACATATAAGATGGAGCTGATTTAACTGGCTCTGACCAGATTCACACAACATAATGGTGGTTAATAAGCCACGGTGTTCTGTTGAACATCCCTGCGCATGCCCTTGATGTACTTGATCATTTTCCTAATTACCCTGACCAGGTGGATGTTGTGATGTATGAACCCAGTGAGAGAGAGTGGCAGGGTTGATTAACAACCTATCTAGAACTCAGATTCTGTTATACAGTTGCCAGGTAGATGGTTAACCACTTCACCCACCCTCCGTAACCCCTGGGTTCATACAAAACAGCAACCCACATTAGATAAAGTGACCCAGCATGCAATCAGTACAGTGCAAGGCACTGTGGCTTATTAACCACTCATGTGGCATGCAAACTGGGTTGCAGTGGTATACTTGAAAATTTTCCAGTGCAGGTGCTCATCTTGACTGCCTTCATGGCCACACTACCTTGCAGAATCCAAAAGGCAGGCAGCTGTGCCGATTCATGCTATTATTTAAAAAGCACGTGTGCACTCACACACTCTTCTGGTAGTTTTCATTTCCACAAGGAACTGTCTTTTGTAAAGCTAATGGGTGTTAATTGCCCATTCAAGAGCAAGCAATTACAAAATGCATCGCATTACATCAAGAGTATCTATTTATTATATTTGCATCCTGCCATTTTTCCTTCAAGGAACTCCCTTTCACAATCTTATCACAACAACTCTAAGAAGTAGGTTAGGCTAAGAGAAAGTGACTGGCCCAAAGTCACCCAGTGAGCTTTATAGTCAAGTGGAGACTAGAACCTGGATCTCCTTGTTATTGGAAAATCCATTCCCCCCAGTGAGGATTGCTGCTGAGCTCAGAGGGTGGCAGATCATCCTTGCTAATCAAAAAGTGTGAACACTTTAACACTGTGGAATCTGGGCCCACTACAGTACTACTTGTAGCACTTGATTCTTTGGGGCTTAATAGAAGGCAATGAGAACTGAGAATCTACACCTGCATTGTATTGTTGTGCTCCAGATTTGGCCAAAAGTGATTATAAGGCTGGGAGAAAAATTTCCCTTACATAGTTCCATCAAGCTTTCAGGTCCTTGTTCATGCAGTAATAGGGTAGAAATTGTCTTTTACTGATAGCCAAAACAGAAACATCAGTTAAGAAAAAGCTTTCCAATGGAAACACACTTTAAAGAAATCCCTCATGAAGCTCTACTTATGTCATGTTCCAGTTCACTTGCATATCTAAAGCCAGTACCACATCTACTTTTATCTTTAACAGAAGCTTTCTGAGTCCTGGGCTTGTTTATCCTTCTTGATATATTTGGTCATTTTCTTTAAGTTCTTTAATTTGTATCAATAATTTTGACATTAATAATGTGAATAATGTTGTTTTGCACTATTCTCAGAAGGAAGTTTGGCTGCAATTTCTAAAAGCATTTGATTGTGTGAGGTGGGAGGGAAAAATATGAGAAGAGGAGAAAGGAAAGATTGGTTGTAATGTATGTTGGGTCAATATATAGCACAGTATTTTAGTATTTACCCATTTTGAACATGATGCTAAGTTTCTTATATGTGCAGAAAAAATCACTGCAAATTTTCCAGCTGTCATTTCTAATCTTGCTGCATCTCAGTGCAAGTTTTTTAAAACATGAGAGCTTTGTAAGCAGTTGATAGTAGTGTTGGTCAGCATTTATTCATCTTTTTCTTATTAAAGTGTTTTTGTCTTTCTTTTCTAAAACAAAACCCTATACTATTAACATGTTTTATATCAAGAATTAAGTAAAACCAATCAATTCCATGATTATGATAAATTCATTGATAACCATTAGGATTAGCATATTAACCAAGGTTATTTTATTTCAGTTATTATGCATATTAGCTACCCTGTTATTTTAAAAAATGCTCAAGGTAGCATATGATCCTTCTGCCAACTACAGTTAATCACAGTGCTCAGCAGTGTGCTTGATGTGCTCAGCAGTATCTGATAAATGCCTTTAAGTACAATGCTTCCTTAACTAACGGGAGGGAGCACCATCTGGTGAGGCCCCTCCAAAAAGGCCCTGCTTTGTATGGACAGAAAGGCTTCTTGTATGACCTTGCAGAGCAGTGACCTCATCCTGGAAAAGGCACCTAGGTTTTTCCTGCAATTACTGTACTTCCATACGGGTGATTCTTAGTGCTACCAAATGATTGCTGTCCCTTTTAAACCGCAAAGGCAACTGCAAGTGATTTTCTATAGTTTCAAGAATATTGTGCTATGATTGGTGTATGCCTCCTTTGTAACTGGTGCCATTTTATACCCTTGCTTTAGTTTTTTTAAGCAGTCATTTCATGATGCTAAAATACTGTTTTAGGTTGATTTCTTTTTTTAAGGAATGGGGAGAATAATGCAACAACACCATATGCTATTATGTTAATTATCCAATAAGTAAATCAAACTCTTTCTGTTCCTCATCAAAATGGAAATGACTGGAAAGTTTATTTCCCCTCCCCACAATTAACCTTATTGCATTATCATGTTATAACATGATAATGCTATTTATTTATTAGATTTATATCCCACCGCTATATATTTTTAAAGAACTTAAAGTGACTTATTTATTTATTTATTTATTTATTTATTTATTTATTTATTTAGAAAATTTCTATGCTGCCCCATTCGCCGAAGCCTCGGGGCAGCTCACAAATATATCAATTAAAATATTATACAGTAAAAATATAAAACAAGTTAACTTACGTCATGCTGCTGCTGCTCCTCTCAATCTTATGCACACAACATAGTGTTATAATTCTACGGCTGGATGTACCCGTCATGGCAAAAAACCCTGTGCAGTTTCCACTGCACACAGATTTTTGCCCAAACTTAACAGTCAGATGATCACATGGTTCCCACAGCAATAGGAAACAGTGTTTTCTGGGTTTTTCACTCCGTCTTCCCAGCAAGTGAACTCCTCTTTCTTATACCATTGCTCCCTATGGACCTCAGCAGTCTTTTCCTAACTGGTCCACTGAGGTTTTGAGGCCTGTTCTCCCTGTTCCTCCTGTCAAGTGTACCAATTCCTCCTAGCCACTCCAGCCCCCAAAGGTATTTTTATTAAATCATAGTAAACAGTTTTGCCATAATTTCCCCCTTCTGCCTCTGTGCATTTACCCATTTTCTCCTTGGTTCTGAAAGTAAACAGGGAGACAGGCACATTACTCATCCAATCGGAATACAGCATCTAATGGTGCATGTGTTGCTGGAGAACGGAGGACAGTAGAGAACACGTGGCTGAGTGACTATTTCTGTGGCCACTCTTTCCATGAGACTCTCGGGTGATTCCATACCAATAATGATAAAATGGAGATCCCAGGACAGGGCAACCAGAGAATCCACATGGAAGCATTGAAACCTTGAAACAGACCACTGATTTACTCAGTAGTTTTGGGAAACTAAAGGTACTACACAAAACACCATGACTGGGTCTGGATGATACAACAGACCAACAAGGATAAGGAATTACTATGGTTGTGTCTCTCTTGATTAAAAAAAAGAGTTAAGAGGTATAGAGCTATAATGCTACAATGTTAATGTTGTAGTCTAATGTTATAGTACAGTAATGCTGATTCCTAGAAAATGGTTTTTGAATTTTATTTAATTTTATTGAAAATTAACATTAAGCATTATGGTATTATAATGTTGACCTCTCTTTCATTTAAAAAAAATCTACTGAAAAAGCCTTTTGGCAATAATTTAAAAATGGATTAAAAAACAGAAACGTGGCCATATAGTGACAACTATCACAAAGGTAGCTGTGATGCATTGCAATACATTCAGCCAGGTAAACAAGTAGATTATAATGATGAACAGACGGGTGAGTCCCAGCAGCACTTGTTGGTGGGGTGGGATGGGGTGTGGGCCCCTGCTAGGGTGTAGACCCATGCCTACTTTTAATGACAACCCTCAAAAAAGAAAGGGGGGAGGAGGAAGAAGGAAAGGATAGTGCTAAAAGCATCTACATCATATATCTACAGAACCCTCCAACCATCAGGTATCAGTCCCATAGAATTGTGCCTTTACAGCAGTGCAAAACGCATCTACATCTTGGGAAATTGCACTCCTCTTCCGTTTTTAAGGGGAAAGTTTCAGATTTTCTGTGGTCTGAGAAAATACTGGATGACAGTGATCGGATGATAGAATAATGTGGAGTCCCTGTAAAGAGTAAGTAAGCAATGCAGACAATTCCTCATTTCAAACCACTTGTATGGATGCATCTTCCGTGTCCCTGTGGCTAATGCCATTCAGTTCTCTACAGTCAACAGGAGTGCAATAATTCCCTCCCTCCCTCCCTCCCTCCCTCTTACTTACTTACTTACTTACTTATTTATACATACCCTGCCCTTCAGAAAAATGCTTTTAAGGCAACTGTCAATAAGAAATTATTTAAGAATGCTATGACCATATTATCATAAAACAATAAGATAACTGAAACAGAATACTTGAAAAGAATTCAATCAGAATAAAACCTTTTTTTAACAAAGGTCTGAAATAAAAATGGCTTTGCCTGGTGCCAAAAGGACATTAAGACAGGTGCCAGATTGACCTGACAAGGAAGAGTATTCAAAAGACAAGGAGCCAGTGCAGGAAAGAGACTTTCTCCTACTGCCATTTGCCTAATCTTATAAGGGCCACTGAGAATGGTCCCAATACATGGACAAGAAAAGATTGTTCCTCTGGTATCTAGATCCCAAACCAAATAGGGCTTTAAAGTATCAACACTTCAGATGGTGCTGAGAAATTATATCACCATCATCATCCATAGCTAAAGTTCTCTGGGTGGTTCACATTTTAAGTCATCCATCCAAGTTTCAACCATGCCTGACCCTGCTTAGTTTCCCAGATTAGACAGGATCAGGCACTTCAGGCTATTTTGAAATAGGATCATAAGTCAGCAAACACCAGCATGATGGATTCATCAGGAGCACTAGATCAGGCTGCAGTTCATGTAGTCTAGCAATCTGTTCAGCTGGTGGCTAACCAGCTACCCAAGGGACACCCACAAGCTGGACATGAATCCAGTAGCATCCTCCTGCTCCGACTTGCAGCTTAAAATACATTCCATTGAGATGGTCCCTGGTAGCAGCCTAGTTGCTCTATTTTCTGTTAAGGTGAGTTCCTGGAGATGTTCAGCTGTAGCCTGCAGAACTTCACTTTGATTAGGAAGATTCAAGAACACCGTCTGGTAAAAACATGTGAAGTATATCCTGAGCAATATAGTCCTGTGTATGACTGCCTCTGAAATGGTCTTAATAAGTGGATGAAAGATTGAAATTTGGCTCAGCTGATAAGAAGCGGTTCATCATAATTCCACTAATGCAATTGTGGCAGTTACAGATGCAGTGTCTTCCTTGGGGGATATTACAGTTGTAATATTCATCCTCTTTGCCAGAAAAGGAGAAAAACTGAACAGCTGGTTTGGGAAAGAAGTTAGAGTAAGATGCTTGAATTCAGTCTGAGAAATATGACCTGCTTTATACCAACAAACTATCCCATCTTTTGGTGTTCTTGTTCTGTTTGTAAGCTTGAATAGAAATAAACGTATTAATTCTTTTGGCAGTCTTTGTTAAAGCCAGTAATGCTGTTTTTAAAGAGGAAATTGGAATGATGAAAGAGTTTTAGGTTACATTGACTACATTTAATCAATGTAGCCCTATGCTACAAATGTTAAGCCTATGCTGCAAAATGTGGATTTACTTTATGTTTTATCATGTATTCCATAAATGTATTCCCATTTTTGCCCATGTGATTTATTACAATGTAGTTGTGAGCCTATGTATGTGTAGAGTAGTCCATTTAGCCATGGACTTTATCAAATGATAGACTATAGACTTCCTAGAAGATATTGATGAGGAAAATCAAAAGATTACCACCATTTCCTAGAATAGTTCTAGCTAGTGCATGTGTGTTAGCACCAAACCTCTAAGTTCCCATGCAGCTCTGCTTGCTTAGAGTGCAAAAGATTCTGCAATGTTAGGTTTGGGAAAGTATAATGTAAATGACTTGCCATTGATTCTCCACCACAAGTATTAAAATGAGTCCAAGATGCTTTGGTGCTAGTTGCAGCAACAAAACAAATATACTTCTAGTGTATTGTGAGCATATAGAATATGAAGAATAAGTGATGAACATTTTAAAGGATTCAGAATGGTACACTCTGGTATTGACCCAACTGTAGCTATGGAGTTCTCTCATAGCTACTGACTGGTCACTGGTTCTTTGCAATGGGACTATTCAAGAGCAATTCATCTTTAAGGTGTGCTTTCGGAATGATTATGTATGTTTGCTCTGCCAGGTATGTTTATGTGATCATTATATAGATCTTGCAGAATTAGGCCACGTAGTCTTTCATTTCTAGAATAACCTTGTGTTTTGTACTTAACGAATGCGCATGTGCATATGCACAGACACAAATTTAGCTTTAAACGGCTTTTAAGATTTATATATCTAAATATAATTATGTATCACTGGTAGTTGATTAGTAGTTAGAAATCCATATTAATTTTGTACTTTTGTCTTATAGCTTGGATCATCGTCCTCTGTGCCTTTCTCATCTATATTCTCACAGCTGTTCATGACTGTTGTAGTTCCTCTCATAATTGGGCAGGTATGTTTTAAAATACAGACTTACTGTTTTCTTGTCCTAACAATAGTCCACAAAAGAGAAGATGCTACCACCGAGGAGAAAGCTTTTGCATAATGAAATTTGATAGCAGAGAAAGAACACTGTAGTACTTCTAAAGTCACATGGATTTTAGTTGAGGCTAAGGAGCTTGGATACCTTCATTCCCCCAAATATATGATTTTTCATCTCAAAAAGAGGGCTTGTAACCATAAAATAGGAAAGAATATGGTAAGCCAGATGCAAAAACAGGCAGTTTAATATAAATTAGGTGTGAGCACCTCATGAAGTGGGGTATTTGACTTGACTAGGAAAGGTCTCCTGAGTAGTGGATCTCAGGCTCAGGCTATAAAGGTAATTGATGCAAAAGGAAAAAAAACTTCAGTGAAACTCAGCATGTTATAAAGCAGGACTGAGGAACTTGTGATCCTCCAGATGTTGGGCTCTAATTCCTTTCAGTCCCAGCCAGCATGCCCAGTGGTCAGAAATGGTGTAAGAAATTACCCAGACGTTATCTTGCTTGACCAAATAAATTGTTTTTGAAACTCACTTTCATGTTGCATGTTTATATGTGAATATTTATCCTTGTGTTAAAAAAATGTTTGTAAGGTATGTAATGCAAGTTCGGTCATACTTCAAAATATATCAGCCTCAGTAGACATGCCAAGGAGCTGGTATTTGTGTTGTCTTCTCAATGCATAAAATACTATTGAAATGCATGCTCGCATGCTTATTTTTAGAGCAATAAATACATATATTTTGGATATGGGCAGGAGTTTTTGCTACCCAGGAGATATCAGTGATTGAGCCTTCTGTATGCAAAGAACATACCCTGTCCTGAGTGATGGCCTCTCCCTATGTATTGTGTCCACTTCTATCCTCTTAAGAACAGTTTTTTCCTTCCCATAAAGCCTGCCCAAAAGGGACTCTTTATGGGACCTTTTTTTGGGGGTGGGGGGTAGTGAAAACTGCTTGAAATGTCCTTCCCATTTTGAATCAGCAATCATAGAATAAAATCTGTCTAAAATATATTAATGTAAAATGGCTTTTATGTGGATTTGTCTTGATCTTTGTATTATTTCAAGATAGATTTGGGTTGGTGATTGTGTAAACCAAGCAATTCATGAGCCACACTGATAAGCTGGGACAATTGTTCATATTTGGTACCACATGTGGCAAAATTTTTTTGCACAATACAATGCAGTAATTTCATCAGTCTCTAAGCTGTATTGCCCTATTTTTCTAGCATAGGAAGTCTGGACAAAGATTGTGGTCTCTTTGTTTGTGTTGTCTCATTTTAACAGAAAAGTGACAGTTAGCAGAAAAATGAAAACCAGGGCAATATTTCCTTTCCTTTTCTGCTGTCCTTCTTCCTTCTCTAGACCTAAGTGCTTGTGACAGACTTTTATTTTATGTTTTATTTTAAAGAGTGATTTATGATTAAAAGTTAATGAAATAGAATTTTCACAGTGCTTTTATTATATTCTACCAGTTTGAACATTTTTCAAAGCAGCACACCAAAACCTACTGTTCTCTATGAATAAATAATAAAAGCCATGTCTGTACATTATCATTCATGCATTCTGTAGTTGCCCATTGGTGATTTGTTTGCCAGCGCGAAGTGGGTACTTCCATTAAATAGTCCTTAAGTAAAATTCAAATTAGTTATTACAATTTCTCCTATATAAATGCTGCTATAAGATCATTGAATTGTCCTGTTCATGTACAGTGCTGTGAAGAATTATTCAGCCCCGTTTGACTTTTCCCCATTTTGTTGTGCTGCAACCTGAAATTGAAATGGCTTTATATGGCATTGTTACCACATAAAGTACACAAGATGCTCAACATAGTGAAGGTGCAAAGTATTTTTATTGCAGCACAAAGGTAAACAAAAGCAAACTGTGGTGCAGTTAGTTGTACAACGCATAGCCTCCAGAAGTCACATGCTGTAAGTAGTTGAATGAAGTCCACTTGTGTGCAATTTCATGACCTCAGATTAAATACACTTGTGTTTGGAAGCCTCCTGAGTTTGCTGGAGATCATATGTAAACAAACAGCATCCAGAAGACCAACAAGCTGTCATCACACTGGGTTAAAGTTGTGCAGAAGCACCAGCCAGGGTTGGAGTATATACAAAAAATCCCACTATGACAGAGAAAGCCACCCACCAAAACACACTGACCGGGTAAGGAGGGCAGTATTCAGGTGGCAACCAAGAGGCAGATGGAAGCTCTCAAGTTGCTGAAGACATTCTGCAGCTGAGATGGGAGAAACTGCTCATGGGGCACATAAGAACCTGGGACGCCACAAAGCTAGTCCTTATGTAACACGGGCAAACAGAATGCCATTGCTGAAACAAACCCATATCAAAGTTCATTTGGAGTTTGCAAAAAGGCATGTGAGTGACACATCAGTCATGTGAGAAAAGGTTCTCTGGTCTGCTGAGATCAAATAGGAATTTTTTGGCAACCAGCAAGTACTAGCTCATTTTTGGTCACTTAACTTTTGTGCAAAATAAAAATATTTTGTACCTTCACAGTGCTAAGCATCCTGTATACATCAATGCCAGTTGAATAATTGGCATGTTTTAGTTGAGTAACAATGCCAATTAAAGCCATTTCATTGCCAAGCTGTAGCACAAACATATATGAACAAGGCAAAGGAGAACAAATACTTCAGCAAGACAAGGTTTAACCAGTAGAACTGTATGGATCTGCTCCATACCTTAGCACAGCTTTCTTCAATGGTGGTGTCCTCCAGACAGTGTGGTATGATGGGGTTTTGATGGTTCCCTGGGGTGGAGGCAGGGCTAGCAGACAGAGTGAGACAGTCACCTCAGATTCTGGGAAGCAGCTGGAAGGTGTTGGGAAGACAGCAGTGTACAACATAACCCACTCTGTTCTCTCTTAGCTAGCCTTCTGTTCTCAGGTACAGAGATGGAGTATGTCCCGTATCCAGTGTTGAAGTAAGATCCAACTGCCAGTCCAATTGGTTTTTGTGCATGGAATGGAAATGGATACCTTCTCATTTACCACTTCAGATAAAATATTGTGGACCCACCCTGGGTGGGGGTTCCAAGGTTACACACTCCAATACAGTCCAGATTTTGAGAACCTTGGCTGAAAATCTCCCACTTTGATTAACACTGGCTCAGTCCTAGTCCTGATGCCAGAGCCTAGGTTGGTTTCCAGTATTTCTGCCTGCACTTCTAATGGTCCAGTCATTCCTCCTTAATCGAGCCCAGGTTTCCCTCCAGCAAGCAATTCAGTACAGTCCTTGCACCTGTGGCACCAGAAAGAAGCAGTTGTAAATGGCAAGTAGAGCAGACCTGTGTGGGTCAGACTCCACTGGTCAAACTTAGAGGCCATTTTCTGCCATGGCAGCACAGCTCTTAACACTGATTTAGTGCACGGCAATGAAATATCAGTTGTGAATTGCCGAGTTTCTCAGTTCTTTACTCCAAACTGAAAAAGGAAACCAGAGATAATTTACTAAAGAGGGACCTTTAATACATGAAATACACACTTATTTGGGAGTTAGTCCCATTTATCTTAATGTGCTGTAATTCAGAATAGACGTTCATAGGATTGCCCTGTCAATATAACCTCTATTCAGCCATTCAGTCTTCACACATTTAGGGCTCCATGAAGGGAAGAGTGGAGTGGTATTAGTTCATTTAGTTATTTATACTTTCATTTATATGCCGCCTACTACCGTAGTCTCAAGGCAGCATATAAATGAGTTAGTTGTTCCTGCCTCCTCAGGCATGGCTCTTTTACCTGTCCCTATTGCCCTCCATGCACTGGACAAGATAATTGGAGGTGGACGGCCTGCTGTAGGCTCCCAATGCTATTTAGAACCCTGATGGTACGAGGTTCTAGAATGCATGGGGAGCCTGCATACACAGCCTGTGCTTCCCACGTCAGAATTCTAATTGCAGGGAGACTGGTTGCCCAAATAGGGGGAATAGTATGGCATTTGAAAGAAGGAAACTTACAGTGATGATTAAGAATCATGTTCAAGTAGAATATATTTATAACCATAATCCATATAGAAGTGCCCTGTTTATAGCTAAACTTCAGCTGAATTTCAGGAAGGAGCAGTAGCCTTTTGGGAGGCTGACACTGCTGAAAAGCTGTTTGGAAAAATTGAGATGACAGATTAACAGCATTCCTGCCATAGTTCACTCTTATCTGACATTTGACTTTAACTACAGACAGCTGAATTCTCAATAGGAAGGTAAACAAAGAATAATATAATACAATGCACCCTTAAAATGTCATGAAATACTTTGTTTATGGTGTAGAATTGAAGGACATGTTAATGTTTAAAAAACTAAAGTTTCAAAATTGCCTTCAAATTATTTAGGGGATTTTAATAAAGTGCAGGAGCATTGGTATATCTTGGCTAAAGCTAAGTAGACAGAGACATGGTGATTTGTGTAGTAATTGCTCATGGTATAAGATGCAATTGATAAACACAAAAATGGATGAGGTTGCGATTTAAGGAAGCAATAAGTAGAGAAAATAAAATCAAGAAAGTAGAGAACATTTACCATTTCAAGGAGGATATGGCAGTATTCATCTTTTTTTTTTAAAGTAAAATTCTGCATCGGAGTATTAACTGCCAACAAAATAATTTATATGTAAAACCTTACATGTTTTATACTCTCTTCCATTTTCTTTGAAGGACAGAATCATAGGTTCTCTGGTATTCTCAATCAGAGAAAATTATGTGGAATAAACTGGGTGGCAATTAGTAATCGACCAAGACAGTAGAATCCAACAAGCTCAGACCATTTCCAGGACATTATTTCTTATCTAGCCACAAAATTCAGCTCTCAAGATTAAACTAGACTACATATTTCTTGCATATTTATGTATCTACAGAGTCTGTATTGAGTTGCATGACCTCGTTGCAATCCCATGTATTGTTTGACTGAAAGATTTGGAGAGTCCTTAGCTGAAAAACTCTAATCTGAATTC